AAAAAAAAAAAATTAATAAAAACTAGCCTGTCTTGACCATTTTAGAATCCTTATCACTGTAGATCATGTCCCCTTGTCTCTGATTTGTGACAGTTTCTTAATAGTGTCTTATGATTATAATTTGTATTTCCCTAATAACACAATGTTGAACATATGGGTTTTTTTAAACTGGTAAAACTAACATAAAATTCACCATCTTAACCAATTTCAATTGTGTAGTTCAGTAGTTATATTTATTCACATTATTGTGATACAGATTTCCAGATTTCCATACCATTAGATAACCCCTCCATTCTCTCTCCCTGCAGCCCCTGGTAACCATCCTTCTACTTTCTGTTTCTGTGAATTTGACTACTTTAGATACCTTATATAAGTGCAGTTGTATGGCATTTGTCTTATTGTGGCTAACTTATTTTACTTAGCTTCATGTCATCAGCGTTCATCCAGGTTGCAGCATGGAAAGATCTCATTCCTTTATAAGGCTGAGTAATATTCCTTTATACGCATATACTACATTTTGTTTATCCATTCATCTGTCTTTGGACATTTGGGTTACTTCCACCTTTTGCTATTATAATAAGGGCTATGAACATGGATATGTAAATACCTCTTTGAGACCGTTTTGAATTCTGATATATACCCAGATGTGGGACTGCTGATAGTTCTACTTAAAAATTTTTAGGAGCCCTATACTGTTTTCCACAGCAGTTGTACCATTTTATAATCTTATCAGCAGTGCACAAGGGTTCCAATTTCTTAACATCCTAACCAACACTTGTTATTTTCTGGGGTTTTAATTTTTTATTTTTTTGGCCAGACATAGTGGGTCATACCTATAACTTAGCACTCTGGGAGGCCAAGACAAGTGGATTGCCAGAGCTCATGAATTCGAAACCAGCCTGAACCAGAGCAAGACGCCATCTCTAACAATAGCCAGGTGTCGTGGTGGGTGCCTGTAGTCCCAGCTACTTGGGAGGCTGAAGCAAGAGAATCACTTGAGCCCAAGAGTTTGAGGTTGCTGTGAGCTATGATGCCATGGCACTCTACCACGGGGGACAAAATGAGACTCTAGCTCTAAAGTAAATAAATGATTTTTTAATTTTTTTCAGCTACCCCATTTATTGATGATGGAATTATACTGGGAAACAATCACTATAAAAGAACAATCTTTTGAATAGTTTACTAAGTAGAACATTTCTTTGAAACATAACATGCAAAAGATTGTCAAATATGTCAATATAGAAACCCTTGGATTTATAGACAGTGCTGATTTTCACAAATTCCACTCCCACATCAAGCAATTATTTTGTGTGATTTCTTTTGGTTTCTTTAATACCTGTGTCTCAGAATAATGAACTCTTATCTTAGCTGAGCTTCTTGAAATAGATTTGCTCACACTGAGAAGTATGAAAGAAGTTATTTTTGGTCAGTGGGTGAGTACTCATACTTAGTAATAAATGAAGGTGACAAACAGGTATTCTCAGCTTTACCTAAATTCTTTTGTTTGTTTCTGATCAGTTTTAAAACTCAGAAAAGGAGGTATTTATATTAGGTGCAGATCTTTTAGCAACATTAACCTCAAAACTGGTAATAATAATATATTAGTCTAGTCAGCAATCATGTTAAAATTAACATAACAGTGGTTTTTTTTTGCAGTTTTTTTGGCCAGGGCTGGGTTTGAACCCGCCACCTCTGGCGTATGGGGTCGGTACCCTACTCCTTTGAGCCACAGGTGCCGCCCTAACACTGTTGACAAATAATATAAAAAATAAACTTATTTTACCTCGTATTTAATTTTAAAATCCTATACCTTAGCTAACGGTTAGACAGAATGGGTCCTTATGGAAACAAAGCAAGCTTTAACTGTTTCTTCACTTCTGAGAGAAAAATGTGACCTACTTTTAATCAGGAAAGTATAACTGCATTTTTAAGAATTATCAAAATGTCAGCTTTTGAGAATGTAGCGTAAGTATATAAAACTAATACTTTTTGCTATATCATACATTGAAATATATTTAGATATAAAAATCTCAAAAATCTAATTGTATTTCAAAGCTATATGTCTATTTATATTACAAGAGAGATGAGTATGTAAACAGAGAAAAGTTGTGCCTTAGTCTTCTTTTTTTTTGAGACAGAGCCTCAAGCTGTCCCCCTGGGTAGAGTGCTATGGCATCACAGCTCACAGCAACCTCCAACTGCTGGGCTCAAGCAAGTCTCCTGCCTCTGCCTCCCAAGTAGCTGGGACCACAGGCGCTCGCCACAACGCCCGGCTATTTTTTGGTTGCAGCCATTGTTGTTTGGCAAGCCCGGGCTGGATTCGAACCCGCCAGCTCAGATGTACGTGGCTGGCGCCTTAGCCGCTTGAGCCACAGGTGCTGAGCTGAGCCTTTCTTTTCTAAAGAGATATTCAATCCATAATTCTCAGATGGTTTATAACTTAATATATTGAAAACTTCTACAATTTGTAATTGCCACAATTACAAAGAAAGTTTTAGATAAGACAGCCTTTTAAACACAGACTGGTGTTGTACTTAGGCCCAGTATTTATTTATTTAAATCATCTATGACATTTGTAAAATTTTTCAAATTTAGGAAAGTGTCTTTATGGCTTCTTTCAATTAAACCTATTTCTCCAAAATATTCCATTTACACACTTAAGTACAACTGGACGAATAAGGTTATTGGCACACAAAATGAAGAGTTTTCCTTTCACATTAAAATTATATTTATGGGATGGTGCCTGTGGCTCAAAGGAGTAGGTGCCAGTCCCATATGCCGGAGGTGGTGGGTTCAAACCCAGCCCCAGCCAAAAAACTGCAAAAAAAAATTATATTTATGATTCCTGAAAACAATTTGGAAAAGAATGTTAACAGTTTGTTGCTTTGTTATGCCTTTTTTTCAATGTTAAATACTCTAGTTTTGCAGTTTTAAGTTCTACTTTTCCTTTTGTCTTCAAACAGACTCTTCAGCATATACACTTGAATGGCTGACACACCACCATGACCACTAAATTAACCATAGACCAGAAGTTGACTCTATCAAAGTTGCTTTCTTGTATGTTTCGATCATGAGCTTCAAATGCTCTAAGCAGAGTTTGTAGATGACCACTTTTGCTTAGTCTGGACTTGATGCTGTCGATGGATTCCAGTACGTCTTCCAGTTTCATATCCAACTAGGTTCCTCAGTGAAAGATTATTCAACGTTTTCTATTGTTTCTGGCTTTAAGTTCAGGTCCATCTTAAAATAGCTAAGTAAAACATCACTCACTTTTTCATTTTCTGATAAATCACTTTCATCTGTTAAATTTTCTTCCACACTACTATTTCCATATTTCAAATTCCAATTTGGAGCAGATAAAAGTTTCACCATTTGTTTTTCTATAGTTGAACATGAATATATATATATATATTTTGAGACAGAGCCTCAAGCTATCCCCCTGGGTAGAGTGCCGTGGCATTACAGCTCACAGCAACCTCCAACTCCTGGGCTCAAGCGAGTCTCTTGCCTCCGCCTCCCAAGTAGCTGGGACCACAGGCGCCCGCTGCAACGCCCGGCTATGTTTTGGTTGCAGCCGTCATTGTTGTTTGGCAAGTCCGGGCTGGGGATTTGAACCCACCACCTTAGGTGTACGTGGCTGGCGCCTTAGCCAGTTGAGCTGTAGGCGCCGAGCCTGAACATGAATTGATATGAAGCTCATTTCTGTCCTTAAAGTCTCCATCAGCATAGGGCCAGCAACCTAATGAAACTGGCAATCCAGGCTCAGGACCAGCTTGCTTATCAGTTGAAGCCCTTGTCAATGAG